GACCTCAGCTTACTCTGTCACGCAAACACGTGCGCACACACGAACACATATACGCGCGTCCAAATAAGCATGCCTGCCCAAGAGCCACTTGAATACGTCACCCCTCGGCCGATGCAGCAAAAACCTTCCCAGGCGACATCCCTTTGGGCATTTGCAACACACCAATAACAGAACACTTGAAACTGCTCCACAATCCTACTTAAGCAGCTGCCACCACTGCCTCGGCCCCTCTCAGGTCTGGTTGAACGTAGTCAACAGTAGCCCTGGCTTCGCCAGCGGCCACTGCCGCCTGAGAAAGCAATTGGGAGTTCTGTACACAACAAACCACTGCTTCTGGTGACTTCCGTCTTTCAACTTCCAATATGGGATTCAGCCTGATGATTGTAGTAATCCAAGTACACCCACTACTGAGACCCCTACAAGTGCAGTTATGCAGACGGGGCATTCCTAACTGCCAAATACTCCTCTCTCTGAACTCTCGACTTTGTTGATTTTGGTCGACCACACGCTTGCCTGTCAAACATGCCAAGAGTTTGTCCAATATCGATCTAAGATAATGGCAATTGCTACTGAGATATTATATATCTCAGTGGTAAAATTTCCAAGCATATATAAGCAACTTTACGTCCTTTTAAAGTCACATCACTCAGTGATTAATACCAGAAAACGCTCCGAACTAAGACACCTTGTGTTATCTTCGGCTGAAAAATTCTTGGAATTCTTCACGTCCATTCCCTGTGACATTCTGTCTGACCTACATGCGATTGTTTCCTTCCCCCGACAATGCTGTTCAATGGCCGCTGCCTCAAACTCATGTATCTGTTTGCGACTCGCTGATTGGAAGACTCGTGGCAAACTTTGCGGGTGATAGCCAACAATACTGTCCCCCTCCCCTGTCCACTGTCTCAACGGCATGAGAATTCGCACAGGTAGTTGTGACCCTCAACCAACTTTCACTTGCAGATATGCGTGTCCAAGACAGTCGCGGCTGCCCAAGGGCCACTTGAACGCGGCCACCTCTCGGCCGATGCAGCACGGGCCACTGTACACGATACTACCCCGAGCAATGCAACACACCAATCGCATGCCACTTTAATTGGCTCCACAGTCACAAAAAACACCTGCCCCTCCCCTCGCACTGACACACGTTCTCTTAGGCCTGGCTGCGTCCTGCACACGTGCTGCGTTATTGGAAAGGCGTTTTTTCTCTGCATAGAGTCCGGCGTTATGTTTGACTGGCTCCTTTGTTATTGACTACGAGTACCCTCTGTTGCATAGCGTACGACACCAATGGTCTTTGTCACTGGGAACTGACGTACGCGTTACGACTGAGTAGCGAGTCACAGGATACTCGAACATTCTGCTTAAGTAGCCTCGGCCGCTCGCTCGCTCACGCGTTCTAAATAGGAGCCCTACTCACTGGCTTCACACAGCTTCTAGTTTATCAAAATGGAGTGAATAAAGGGGAGGGGGGGGAGATGAAACATCGGTGGGGGCATCGAAGGAGACGTGATGAGCTGGCGAGGGACTCACGTTTGCATTCAGTCGGCTGGCCACGCGAACAGTTTCCGTAGAGCCAATATCCCGGCGGACACTGTGTATCACAGGCTGGAAATAAAGAAAGAAAACAGGTTTCAGGTCACTTGGAGGTGAGGTTTTACCGGTTCGTGTGCCAGCTGCGCCGGTCACTTTAGTTGCAACCACACATATTGAACTTCCAATAGAGGAGAATATCCGAGTTCCAGGAAGCAGTTCCGAAGAAGAAGAAGAAGAAGAAGAAGAAGAAGAAGAAGAAGCGATCACTGGAACCAGAGATTTATTGTTCCAACGTTTCGGATTCCCTCGGGAAGCCTTAATCATAAGTAATAGAAGAACGGTCTGAGACATGCGCGGATAGGGTGATAAATGCACAGATTACACGGTATTTATAGTTAGTAGCGGTCACCCGCATGCGTACTATAATTGTCGGTTCCTGTAGCCACCGCTTG